TCTTCAGCCTGCTAAATGTGAGTGAGTGAGTTAGTTAGTTAGTTAGTTAGTCAGTAAGTTAGTTTAAGCCAGGCCCAAGTATTGCTTTGAATCTAAAAGCAATAAACCAAGCTTTTTTATGTTTATATTTGAAAACAGCCTGAATATTTTGGTCAGAAAAGGTACACTTGATTGAATATTACTATAATCAATTACAATTGATTATAATATTCCAAAATCAATGCAATTGATTCTCCACCTTCAGTGGTACATGATATGAATTATGTCAGTTCTTATTTGCATTGCGGTGTTTCAGGCATGCTCAATTGAGTGGGCTGGATACTAACAGATCAACCTGTATCTCCTACTTTATGAAGAAGTAAACTAGTTTGACCTCACAGAGAAAGATTTTTAGATCATTTCATGGACCTGGCTTGTAACTCAGAATGTAAGTAAGTCAGTAAACCAGTAAGTCAGTAAAGTCAGTAAGTCAGTGAATCAATGAACCAGTAAGTAAACAAGTAAGTCAGTTTGTGAGTAAATCAGTGAGTCTATGAATCAGTAAGGTAGCAAGCCAGTCAGTCAGTAAGTGATCAAGTAAGCACGTAAGTCAGTAACTCATTCACATTTAGCAGGCTGAAGATTCTCCACAAGGGGGTGGTGCTTCCTAAAAGTGGTGCTTTGCATCAATGACACTGTGTGTCCTTGTTTTTGGATAATACAAGCAGCAATACTGAAACCTAAATAGTTTCAAAGCAAATCAGATTGACCATCGAGCTTTACGTCACATGAACCAGAGAAACTGTTAAACTTTTCCTGTACAGATCCTTAAACGTATTCCAGTCATTCCACACAGAGACCAAGCTGTTAATGCTGCCCCTAAATCTGACCCTACAGTCTGTCACTGTGTGAAATCTGGCCAGTACTGAGGCTTTGGGAATTGCATGTGTGTACATTTACAATCTGACCATACTAGTGCCCGGTATTGGCAACTATTTGAGTGCCCATGCTAGCTGGGATGAGTGCCAATGTGCGATCAGCTAGCATCAGGAGTCCATCTGTTCCACAGACCCGGGGTTAAACTGACAGAGAGGGAGGAAGTGGCAGAATGAGAGAGAAAGGGGGGAGAGGAGCGATTGGCCAGCTAGCCATAATATTAAGGCACTGGACTATGAGTAGTGATTAGAGTGGTGTATACAAATACCTGAATATCTGAGAAATATGAATACAATAAGGTTTTTGTAAACTGTAAGCTCAAATAAGTTTATATAACTTAAAATTTTGAGGTAACCTGTTGGAATTGGTGAATAAACCAACAAGTTTAAGTTCAATGTACTTAAGATATATATGTGTGTGTGTGTGTGTGTGTGTTTATATATATATAAATATAAACACATGTCTGTGCAACTTTATGAGTTAGTCAAACATAAAATCCCAATTTAATTACACATTTCCATAGGTAATTCACTTTTTATGGTTAAGTGATATTGACCAATTTGACAAACACTGAAGGGTTAAGCATTGGTGTGAACATGGTCACCTGCCAGAACAGGTCCACTCTCAGCAGCAGAGAGAACAACAACTCGCCCTTTTAGCCAACAGCACAAGGTCAGGCTCCTGAGTAAAGAACGTATACACGCTCGCCTGAGGAAAGGTAGCCTGGGTGGAATGAAAACACGTTGATGGTGAGCAAAACAAACAGAAACACCCAGTATGCAAACAGATGAGCCAGGAGTCAATGGGAAAGCATTACCCAACAAGAACACTCATTCTTCCATCATCTGCTAAACTGCAAATTCATTCATTCATTCATCATCTGTTCATTTCAAAGAAATCTGCAGGGACATTTTTCCACTCCTCCAAAGTTCAGTCTTAGAAGTTGGTTGCATTTTCTGCTTCTTACAATCCAAGTAATCCCAAACACATTCAATGATGTGGAGGTCTGGACTCTGGGGTGGTCAGTCTATTGTTCTGAGAACACCAGCAGCTTCTTTGTTTGAGCGGTACAACGTCTCAGTGGTGTGCTTGGGCCGTTATCTTGCTGTAGAATAAATTTCTTTCCAAACCCACATTTTCCAGAGGGTTTCGCACGATTAATTCAAATTTCTTTGTGCTTCTCAGCATTAATGATCAAACCAAATGACCAACTCTGAATGTTTGGTGATCCTCAAGGGTGCATCGAGAGGGAAGCCAGCCTAGTTACAGGCTATAGTTAGTTATAATAGGCTTAACTGAAAGTTAATACCGTTAAGTAAGTATATGTAAGTTCAGTCTTAGAAGTTGGTTGGACTTTCTGCTTCGGTCCAAGTAACACTTTTAAACTCATCAGTTCATAAAACCTCCACATCTCAAATATTTAGCTTTACTGTTTCTTTACTGTTTTCTTTTCTCAGTAAGAGCTTCTTGTCAGCTACACATCCTTTTAGACTCATAGTGCTGAGTTGTCTTCTCACAGTGGAAGGATGGACAGAAACACTGTCAGATCTGAAGCAACAGTGGAGCTTGATTTTCATTTCCTTATGCAAGTTTTTTTCTGAAATCTAATCTCCTCAGAAAAATCTCCTCAATAACTTTTACTTAATAGCTGGAAATTAAAGAAATGAAGGGCAGCCTCTGACCTTTGCACAACACTGCACACTCTGTTTGTAAGCATAGACCTGAATGCCTTCCTGTTATTCAATGTTATTAAATATTGTTATTATGTCCTGTTATTTAACTGTTTAACCCCAGAAACTATAAAAGTAACTTATTTTACCTTAAAAAACAGCAACTTGTTTGTTTTCAGATTTCAGTCCTAACTCAAACTCTGTGTATGTTAACAAGAGATATTAGTATCTGAAGCCTGAATAGGACTTTACTCCATTAACTGAACAATAACATCCTCAGACTATGCTACATATCACAGATGCTCACAAGTCTCAAGTCTTAAGCTGATTTTAGACCAGAAGTGATGCAGCATGCATAGAAAGCTGGACGTCCTCCGCAACATGTGCTATTTCATACAGGACATACTCCTTCATACTCTTTTTATTGTTTAAATGAACGTTACATTGATGACGTTCTGTCTTTATTGTAAATGACAGGCACAGCTGTTTAAATAGCAGAAGACTGTTCGAAAAAGATAAGCAATAAAAACATGACTTGCTGCCGTGACTGTTGATCTATGTTCTATATAGCTATACAATCATTCTACTACAGTGATTATAGATCAACTGAGAGTCATTGCTCTTTATTTGTTGCTGAGGAGGAGCAAAAGATGGAGAGATGCAACATTAACCTACACAGAGAGGCACAAAGGGGATTCACACCTTATCATATCATATATCACCTTATCATAAAGTTAAAACTAGATTTGTCAATGTATTTATCAGCCTAGATTGTTCTTTTTATTGTTTCTGCCTAGAAACTGCTAGAATGCTGTGCATGGCAGGCCTCAAAAATAAACCCAAAGCATACTTTTGTGTTTTATGTGTGAGTGGACGCGTGATGCACATGGCCGATGTGGAAGGCTACATTGATTTGTAGGACTATATTAACATAGGAGCATATTGCGTTTGGCACATCATGCACAGCGGTTACCACATCTGGTGTAAAAAGGGCTTTAAATTGTGAATTTGGCTCAAAATTTTCTTTGCAATTAACAATGTACTCCAATGCATTTGGTCTGAAATGGTGTTTCCACATTGGAAACGAGGTGCTGGTGAAGGCAGGGTTGGTGGGTGTGGTTAATGTAGTCCAGGGGGAGGAGCTACTTTGCTAAAAATGGGAAGAAAATCAGAACAGCCTATTACCTGTCTTTTTAAAAGGAAAACACACAGAAACTTTTTACGTTTAATGATTTCTTGAAGATTTGTTTACTTTGTCTGCTTTAATGAGCTATAAATTGGTTAAATGGTCTCAAACAGCTCATCTTTGTTTGTTTTCCCATGTAGTGTACAGCAGCTTTCACATAAACACACATTGCTCTTTACACTGAAAAAGCAAAATCAATGCAGGAAGATGATGGAACCCCTTTAGGAACAGGACACACAGTACAGTGACACTTGAATTCTACACAGCCGAAAAGCAGCAAAATCTAACAGCCCCCAGCAACAGAGCCCGTCTCAAAAGATGAAAGACAGAGAGAGAGACTGTGTACTCACTCACCTCACTGACTGATAATACTGTATTAATGTTTCTGTATGCATGATTGCATATTCCTGTGCAAGTTGGTGTGTGGAGTGTTTAACCCTTAGAGCCTTAGTATCACAGTACATACACATAATTCATAACAATTCTCTATTAATGAAATCAATTATAATAAAAGTTAATAATTACATAGCTGATACTGATAACACTGCTAATAAATAATACAACATGATGTATTAAGTTATTCATTGTGAGCATACAAGCAATTCATAGTCATAATGAATAACTTAGTTGTACACTAAAGTCTCAAAATGAATTTTGCTGATTTTCTAAGTGAAAAGAAATGAAAATATTCTCACTTAAAACTCACTTAAAAATAACAATTTTTGCAAATTTTAATGCACAATTTCTATTTATTTGCTGAGTTTGACATACTGGAAAACAAAATATAAAATGGAGGTGCTATAACTTTTGCACAGGCTACATTTTATGTTTTATTTTGTCCTCAATATGTTAAATTTATCAAATGCACACTAATAGTGCATTAAAAGGTGCTCTGAGGATGTGTACTTATCTTCACAACAACAAAAACCATGGAATTTGATGAGGGGTGCCCAAACTTTTGCACAAAATTATATAGGGTACCTTTTTGAAAATTAAAGCTCATTAGAGTCTGATAACCCTGATGTAATTCGAACATAAGTGTAATTTGTTACATAATTAACTTAATAACATGTAGTAACTATGTAGTTAACTGTGTAATTATGTAGTTACATTTGTATAGTACAGAAAAACTGTAAAGTAATAACTGTAGACTTTAATAAGGGTTAAAATGACTATGTCAGTGCAGTTTGCTTGTGTGGAGCTTGCATACATGATTTTGCATGTCTTACCCACTAGGTCCCACTCGCCGTTGGGGATGTAAGTAGAAATGTCCACTTCCTGCATCTGCAGGTCCAGCAGCCAGCCGTTATATGTCCAGGAGCCAAACTTCAGGTCACATTTCTGCACATCGAAGGGGAACCAGCGCACATCTATATAACAGGTGCTCTTTAGGATACCTGTCAGAACAGCACGCACACATAATTCAGGAGGAGCAGAACTGCATGTTCACTCAGCTGCCAGTTCATTAGCATAAGGATTTATTTCATTTTCAGTCAAAACAGTCATTAAATACAAATGATTCATTTTACAGGAGATGCTTCTGATAATCCATTTGCAAAAGGAAGGGGACAGTCAAGGAAAATAAAGGATAAAACAAGACTGTCCAAAACTGGAGTACAGAATTATTTAAAGCTACAGAGAAAATGGGACTCCTGACAACCACCTGCAAGACCTGTTAGACCACCAAAACTGTCCCCATCAGATAACCTAACAGACTGGGTATAATACATATGGGACATATGTAAGTTCTTATATCATTGTTTAAAAATAAATTTGTGGAAAGTGGGGAGAGAGAGAGAGAGAGAGAGTGAGAGAGAGAGAGTTACCTGGTGGTATATACTGGCATGTTCCTGAAGCATTCACCAGGACATTAGTGTGAAAAGTAGCATCAAACCGTTCGTCAGCACTGAGTAGGAGAAAAAGACAAGATTCATAAAATTCATGCATTAACTAACAAATAGTTGGGTCCCAAAATATATCTCTTATAACTGTGCAGTTACACTTTAACAATACATGCAACAACAGTGTAACTACGGGTGATTTATTCAGTGATTTACTAATTACACACTGGCTGTTACAGTCAGAAAAGTCTTGTTGGAAAAAGAGCAGTTTACACAAATGCAATTACCCTCACCCTATTACACGTGTAATTACATAAGAAAAAAATATGCTGTCAATACTATACTACACTATACAACTTACATAAGTTGTACTATTGTAACTCATCTGTAATATATATGTGTATGGATGTAGGGATGGATTGATACCAATACTGGTATTGGGTATCGATCTGCTACTGTGCTCATTTACTTGTACTTGTACTCATAAAAGTGAACCATTACCACCTGATACCATGTGATGTAAACTTGGCATACGCTGCCACGCTATAATGACTCAAGCTGGCAGTGCGCCTTGAGAGATTTCCTCCAGGCATACAGTGTGCGGCCATATTTAGGCCATTTTTAAGCACATACAAACATAACCACAACCACTTCCCCAATATAGATGGAGACACATGAACTAACAAAACAAAGCAAAAAAAGTCCAGAATTTGCTACCAAAGTCTGAATAGTATTACAGAGAATTCTGCAGAGGCTGTGCTTCACATAGCATGTCAACCAGACCGAGTGTTTTCACACAGTGTGAGTTTATACATTGTAAGCTTTGTCCGGACAAATGTACAGTGTGAGTCACCAAAGGGCGAGATATCTGAAAATGCACAGTGTATGTCTGGCTTTAGAGGACAAACAGCCAAACAAAAGACTTCAACAAGACGTAAAACGTGTCACTGTGCTACAGAGACTGTTGTTGAAAGATGCAAATGGGGATCAAAACTATGAAACACACTTTACTTACAGCTGTACAGCAGCACTTTTCTGATTTCGAACAAAGCCAATTCTTCTCCACTGCAACACTACTTGATCCAAGGTATCTAAAGTAGCATAGCTAGCTAATGCACATCATTTAGCATCAGCTAGATTTTAATAATTTAGCTGTTAAGGTACATTGCACACATTTACACAAGCAACTACTTAATTCTAAGTTGGTTACTCAGTATAACATCAGAACTGTTATTAGCAAGTGCTAAAAAAACATGTACTCGTACTTAGTCTGGAAAAAAACAGTACTGATGCACCCTTACATGAGTGTACACAGTTAAGTCTGTCTTCCTCCCAGAAATTTAATTGCACATTCCATTCTTTGCTAAATCACGGAAGTGATATTTCTTCTCTTTATCATTTGAGTCAGAACATTTGCAAAGCATTTAACATTTTACAACATTCCCAAAACAAGGAAATGATGCCATCGCCTTGGAGAAATGCGCTCAGTACAATCAGCCGTTGTAGTAACTCCAGTCCTGCGTGGCTGCATTATTCAACAGCCTGTTCATTATTAATCATACCTGCTAAGGCCGCATCAAGAATGAGATGAAATAAAGAAATAATGCAGGTGAGGTCACAGCAGAGACAGGGCCAGTAATATTAGCTCCAAGAGGCTGCATTATAAAAGCCCACAGTGACATTTAGCATCCATCACTGGTATGTAAGGAGAGGATATACATTTTAATCATGCTTATGTCAGACTTTTAATTTGAAACATCAGTCAGTCTGAGCCATGTGTGTAATATGAGTGCAATAGGCCTATAAATGCTGTAAAACGCATAAATCAAGTAGTATTCATGCTCATGTTGGCCCAACAAGCTTGCTGCCCATTGCAGAAGTGTATTAGCCTTTTTAGTGCTACTATGGCTTTCAGTATACAAAAACAGACATTTGTTGTTTTCCCCAAAGTCAGAGCTAAACATTCAAGCCAGTCATCATATTTATGTGGCGTCCACTGACTCTGTCTGTCTCTCTGCCCTCAGGACTCTAATACAAAGCAGGTTTGCTAGCAAGCTTGGCTAGTTTGTGGGTCTGAAAATACAGCACCAGAGTAAAGGTGGGCAATATGGCAAAGATATAACATCACAATACTTTAAAACATTTTAACACGATATTTCCAGTGGCGAACTATGACTAATGCTAATGGTGATTCACATGAATATTTTTAGGCTGTTCTAGATTCAAACACAGACATTGCAAGCTTTACTTGAAAGTTGTGACAGACACAGTATATATTTCACCTTGTAGCAGTGACTCTTTCAGTAGAGAGCTCTGGTATAGCTGCTGTTTTCTGTTTCTAATGCTGCCAGTCTTATTCTTATTGATGTTTTTCTCATGAAACTGGCCCCGCCCCATTGGAAATCAATGCATGATTGGTTGATTCCTCAGTCCCTTTGTAATTATGCTGACAGTTAATGTAATGCATTAGTGCTTCTTTTCAGCTCTAGAAGTCCCGACCAGTAGAAGAGCTCACTTGACTATATCTGCCTAGACACCACGACTCCACAACTTCCTGTGGGCATTTCAAGATTTTAACCCTTTTCTTTCTATCCATTAAAAATGAAACATGAGTAGTACTATAATACTTGCAGAGGTTAAATACAAAGATTCTGTTAATTTAAAATGAATTAAAATTACAGACATGCTTTTTTAGTTGCAAGGAATCATTAGCCCTTCTCTAAAGACCTAGAAGGTGTTGAGGTTTCCCCTCTGCTCTTCAGTGTGTGGCAGAAACATCCAGTGGGGTTCCCCATTGGAAATTTCATTTTCTGAGGTTTGATGAAGCTGGCTCAGACACAGTGCATCAGTAGCGCCTTCAAAAACTCTGAGTACAATCACAATTTGAATGATTCACATACTATTCAGCACTAAATCCAGTTAAGCAACACCATTTATTGCTCTGTTGGGCTTCCAGCATCACTGAGATTCGACTAGATTAAAACCTCTAACACCAAATCAAACTCTTAGAAGCCTTATTAAAACTCTTTGTTCAGTGTTCTAGAAGTATTACACTGAGTTTTCCTGTTCCACCTTAAATGGTGCCTGAGGTGCCAGAATGTAACTGCTGCACCATTTAAAGTGGATTGAGAAGAATCAAACAAGAAGCTGGTGAATGAGAAGCTGACTTCGGCCTCGTAAAAAGTAAAATGTTAAGATATATTTTACAAGAAACAGATCACCTTTGTGGAAAAGTATCCTGCTGGAGATGCAAGAAAAGCAGCTATAGCTGAGCTAAAGCTTAAAGCAGAGCGAAGTAAGTCTGCGTTTTCATTTATATTATATATTTTTAGCCTTTGCTAGGACATTAGCACATACAATGTAAAATGAACATGAAATGCTGTGGCTGCCAAGGTGGTTTGATTTTTGTTGAAAAGACAAAATGGCTCTTCTTAACATTTGGGTTGCCAACCCCTCACCCACACCTATACTGGAGTAAAGGTTAGTTCACTTGAACAGAGTTATGCATAGACGTTTAGCAGTCAGGTTCATAATGGTTGATGTTTTATATATAGTCACTGTGGTAGCAATGCTGAATCTCCACAATTCTGCTACCACCAAAGTCATCAAACTCATCATTTTCCAAAGCTAGAATAAGAATGACATGAAAGACAGAGCCAAAGTTAAAAACCCACCCTTCATTTATTGTATTTCCAGTCAAAATAGCCATTACATATGGTCATTTTTCAACATCAACAGAAAACATATATTTAACAGAAGCCTCAACAACTGAATATAATATTATTTATTTTCACTATTTAGTGTCTCCACTCGTTACCTTTATCTTAGCTTCCATTCTTTTCAGGAGTCTTGATTTCAGTTTTTCAAAGAAAAAAGTTCAGTCTTAGAAGTTGGTTGCATTTTCTGCTTCTCACAATCCAAGTAATCACATGATAACAATGAAATACTATTGATACTCAGTTCTCTACTTAAATAGGCCAACAATACGTAGGCCAGTCAAATCATGCATGCAAATGTGACCCAGATAGCTAAAGACACAACCATTTGCATATTTAATGCTAAAATACTGGTGAGTTTTATTCAGTAACACTTTGAGAAACAATCAACGTGAAGTATAACCCATTTTGTATTTCTTTTAAACCCAGTGTGATTAACACTGTATTATTACATTTTCTTGTGTCACTGTTAATATTCTCTTCAGAACACGCTGAACGAGGCCATTTTAAATGTTCAGTTTTTTTGATCAATTTAACATGTGAGAAGTTTTGTATTGATAAATTGATTGGATTCGAAAACCAGAGATAAATAATGTGTAATGGTTTAATTATTTTCTGTGTAGAATCCAATAAGCACTGGAAGATCTGTTTTGCAAGGGAAACACTATTTTACACATTTAAAGGCTGTAAAGTAGACAAAGGCAAAAAGGCTCACATCCATCTTTTGAAAGAGAATGGTCAGCTAAATCCGCTGTCCCTACCGCTGTCTCATCCCATTACGCTCTTTCTGGCTTTAAAGTCTGTGTGAGTCCTGCTCAAAGTCAGAGAGGTCAGGCTCCCATCAGCACATTCTGAGCCCAGCCTGGCCCCACTCACGCTCTACTGAAGCGGACCCACACTACGCCCCTGTTGCACACCACTGCCAAATACACAGTCCTGCATGCTCTTCTGCCAAAACTACATTTACCATACTGCTACTACTCTTTACTCCATTAAGATGGACACACCGCTTTTGATCAAATGTGGTAACTGAAAGTTGACGTCTAACCCCCGGTCAGGGCCTGTTGAAATAAACGGATCAAGCAACTGTATATTTCTGTTTCTGCTATGCTCAGAATAGTCTTATAGCAAAGGGGAACCCTCTGTGCCTTCTAGGCCTTCAGAGAAAGACTAATGACTTCCGTGAAATGAAAAAATGCATTTCTGTAATTCGGAAACAGTCACTGTAAAACTGCTATATTAAAAGTCAAAATAATGCTAAAATTCTATTTCATGTGCATTGCTGTGAGCTTAGCACTAGCATACTACTAGCTCCTAGAATCCCACAGGGGTGCTAGCAGAAATTAGCA